CAGGTTTCCAAGTGACAAACTTGCAGCAATATAATTGAAGGCTGTTCAGTCCAAATTACCAAGGACACTAAATTTACTGTAAAACAAACTATGACTTGTGATACTAGAAATGTTATTTACTTGATTGTTTGTAGTGGATGCAATGAAAGGAATATCGGAAAGACAGAACTTAAATTAAAAAGAAGAATGAATCTTCACCGTTCACAAATAAAGCAGCCACACAACCGCACGATTCCATTCAGTGAACATTTAGAAGCATGTGGAAACGGATTCATAATGTCCACACTGCATGTAGAAAAGAATATTTCTCAAATATGTGATGCTTGTGCAGTTTTTGTTGCCACTGTGTAGCGTATGTGGAGTTGTTGTGATTATCAAATACGTGTATTGATCGCGTATACGTACATGTGTTGAAATATAGGACTAGTGGAAATGGTCAGCCTTAATATGCAGTCGAACCCATTTAATTGGCGCAATCCGATATATTGTATGTGTGTGTGTGTGTGTGTGTGTGTGTGTGTGTGCGTGTGCGTGCGTGCGTGCGTGCGTGCGTGCGTGTTAACTTATTGGCATATTAGTTATATCTGTTCCATGTGATGTCATGTTGATTACCTCCAATAGACAACATAATGTTCAACCTCCAATAGTTTTCAACTTATGTTCAACCTCCAATAGTTTTCAACTTATGTTCAACCTCCAATAGTTTTCAACTTAAGTTCAACCTCCAATAGTTTTCAATCAATGTTCGACCCGTAAAGATTCCGGGATAGAATAGGTCTTCAGCAACCCATGCTTGCCGTAAATGGCGACTATGCTTGTCGTAAAAGGCGACTATGCTTCTCGTAAAAGGCGACTAACGGGATCGGGTGGTCAGGCTCGCCGACTTGGTTGATGCAGGTCATCAATCCCAATGGCGTGAATCGATGTTCATGATGTCAATCACTGGATTGTCTGGTCCAGACTCGATTTTTTTACAGACCGCCGTCATATAGCTGGAATATTGCTGAGTGCGGCGAAGTATCGATGGCTGAATTCCTTACCATGAAGTATGCGCTATGGCTCAACATGTGAACCACAGACGATGACCAACTACACGGTAGTGGGCGGAGAAAAGAAAATGCCAGCGAGGGTGTTACTTTTCAGATAACGAAGCTGAAACGGCTGGTAAATTAGACATATATTATTCAACTCATGTTCAACCTCCAATAGTTTTCAACTTATGTTCAACCTCCAATAGTTTTCAATTTATATTCAACCTCCAATAGTTTTCAACTTATGTTCAACCTCCAATAGTTTTCAACAAATGTTCAACCTCCAATAGTTTTCAACTTATATTCAACCTCCAACAGTTTTCAACTATTGTTCAACCTCCAATAGTTTTCAATTTATATTCAACCTCCAATAGTTTTCAACTATTGTTCGACCTCCAATAGTTTTCAACTAATGTTCAACCTCCAATAGTTTTCAACCAATGTTCAACCTCCAATAGTTTTCAACTAATGTTCAACCTCCAATAGTTTTCAATTTATATTCAACCTCCAATAGTTTTCAACTATTGTTCAACCTCCAATAGTTTTCAACTATTGTTCAACCTCCAATAGTTTTCAACTAATGTTCAACCTCCAATAGTTTTCAACTAATGTTCAACCTCCAATAGTTTTAAATTTATATTCAACCTCCAATAGTTTTCAACTAATGTTCAACCTCCAATAGTTTTCAACTAATGTTCAATCTCCAATAGTTTTCAATTTATATTCAACCTCCAATAGTTTTCAACTAATGTTCAACCTCCAATAGTTTTCAACTAATGTTCAACCTCCAATAGTTTTCAACCAATGTTCAACCTCCAATAGTTTTCAACTAATGTTCAACCTCCAATAGTTTTCAATTTATATTCAACCTCCAATAGTTTTCAACTATTGTTCAACCTCCAATAGTTTTCAACTTATGTTCAACCTCCAATAGTTTTCAATTTATATTCAACCTCCAATAGTTTTCAACTTATGTTCAACCTCCAATAGTTTTCAACAAATGTTCAACCTCCAATAGTTTTCAACTTATATTCAACCTCCAACAGTTTTCAACTATTGTTCAACCTCCAATAGTTTTCAATTTATATTCAACCTCCAATAGTTTTCAACTATTGTTCGACCTCCAATAGTTTTCAACTAATGTTCAACCTCCAATAGTTTTCAACCAATGTTCAACCTCCAATAGTTTTCAACTAATGTTCAACCTCCAATAGTTTTCAATTTATATTCAACCTCCAATAGTTTTCAACTATTGTTCAACCTCCAATAGTTTTCAACTATTGTTCAACCTCCAATAGTTTTCAACTAATGTTCAACCTCCAATAGTTTTCAACTAATGTTCAACCTCCAATAGTTTTAAATTTATATTCAACCTCCAATAGTTTTCAACTAATGTTCAACCTCCAATAGTTTTCAACTAATGTTCAATCTCCAATAGTTTTCAATTTATATTCAACCTCCAATAGTTTTCAACTAATGTTCAACCTCCAATAGTTTTCAACTAATGTTCAACCTCCAATAGTTTTCAACTAATGTTCAACCTCCAATAGTTTTCAACTAATGTTCAACCTCCAATAGTTTTCAACTAATGTTCAACCTCCAATAGTTTTCAATTTATATTCAACCTCCAATAGTTTTCAACTAATGTTCAACCTCCAATAGTTTTCAACTATTGTTCAACCCGTGAAGATTAGCTGGAATATTGCTGAGTGCGGCGATGTATCGATGGCTGAATTCCTTACCATGAAGTATGCGCTATGGATCGACATGCGAACCACAGACGATGACCAACTACACGGTAGTGGGCGGAGAATAGAAAATGCTAGTGAGGGTGTTACTATACAGATAACGAAGATGAAACGGCTGGTAAATTAAACATATATTTGTACGTGATTATGGATGCGCAACTTAATATACAGAATGGAAGATTCGTGTAAGCGATCTATTAATAATCTTTTACCTAAAGAACCGCATTGCACTATCACCTGTGTGCAAACGGGTCGCGGAAAAACAGCTTTTATTCTAGATATTTTACAAAGTCATTATCGGGACGTTTTCAACCATAATTATTATTCTGTGTCCGACTATAAGCGTTAATAAACATACCTATTGAGAGATTGGGTAATGAATGATGATGGGGTGTACAGAGTTGATCCGTGCGATCGTTTACAAGACTGTTTACAAGCATGTCACGAAACATACAAAGGAGAATCAACCATTTTCATAATAGACGACTGCAGTGCAAGAACAGAACTTACCAAAATGAAAGATATGCTTTCATATTAAGCATTCTCCGGACAGCATATGGAGCATAGCGTTTGGGTACTTACTCAAAAATACAACTCTGTTCTGAAAGATCTCAGAGAGCAGACCAAATGGGTAGCCCTGTTTCATTGCAAAGACCAAGATTCATTTGAGGAATGTCTATGCGAAAATGATGTTATTTCTACCAAGCTCGAGCGAGATAAAGTCAGAAAACTGTTAGCGGAAACGAAGCATTGTAAACTCGTATTAAAAACCGATCAACAAGCTGCATATGCAATTGCTAAGCAAAAGTATGGCACAAACAGCAAACTTATAGCAATATTTAGCAAAAATAGCAAAATTATACCAACTGCTTGGTAAAAAAATAGCAAAAATAGCAAAATTAAATAAATAAATAGCACTAGATGAATAAATAACCAAAAGATTATGAAAAGTTAAGTGTGGAGTATGGCCACGGCTTTATTCATGAAATTACAGGTGGATGATATTTTGCATAACCCTGCAGGTTTGGCGAACCAAAATCAGTGAATGCCGGCCCAAAGGCAATCGGACAAACAGAAAGCGCGACTCGAGAGGATAAACACACAACGAGTCATCAAAAGGCGAAATGACTTTGATTCCCCCCAGTGTAGACCAAAGGAGGTCATTAAGCAAGCTATGCCCTCACGGGTAGCGCTCATCGAAGGCCTCCGGAAATTACTATGCCCAACCCGCAAGTATTACGCCACAGGACTGTGTCTATACACAGACCCTCCATTACTTAGCACAGAAAAACTTCACTTTAATTGTCAGTAAACACCTTTGACCGGTCATCCAGAAGGAAGTACTCCAAAGCCTCCTGATAGGTATTGACAAATATGGAAAGCCCTACATCTGAAAGATGGACACCATCATGCCTGTACATCCCCAAATCCTGTGCCCGAATACCATTCTTTTTGGCTCACCCTCCAACCCTAAGCACTACACTAATGCCTGCTCTATTCAAGCGCTTCCTGGCTTCCTCCACCGATCTGTAATTTGCGGCCCTATGCCAATACTGTCTAGGAAGTAACTCAGACCATACAAAGACTTTGAAGGGAAGTATCTTAGCAAAATATGTGACATCCTCTGTGACACTGCGATCCAAATTCCTAATATGGGAGCTTACCAGATCATTTGAACCTAAGTGGAGAATTATGACACTTGGAGGAGGTTTCCTTTGAAGCTGGGTCAGCAATAGCTGCCTGAGCTCTCTCCGGTGCATTCCTCTCTTGCCAAACCAACTTAAGGTGAACCCCAATTTATGCAAGCCGAGATGCCTCCCTAATTTCAATCTGAAACTCTGCCACTGAGCCCAATAGACAAATGATGAGCCTACAATCCAACAATCTAAAAAAGACTTAATTAATGCATGAACAATTTTTCATACAACATACAATATCCAAACACATTGGTAAAGCAGGAAATAACATCATTAGAATGAAATGGAGTAATTAGGAAAATAACATATACATGAATGCATAAAAATGAAAACTACATGATATATGATCATGATGAAGCTGAAGTTAGTTAAGAGGGTTTAGTAATGACTTCCCCTGTGTAAGAAAAGTACATTAATGGAATGAAAGCATAATTATACTGCTCAGACAATTCTAATGTAAGAAACATATGCAGCAGACTGCCAACGACCCCACTGCTGTATTGCTTCATATGATGAATTGCATATCACTCATAAAGCCACAGGCATCTGCAGCAAAATCTTGTAAGATATTGGAGCTCTGACATCTACTTTCATTGTAAAGCGTCTGCTACCTTCAAGCATCTTCCGGACAATGAAATGAACTGACGGATCCGGCAAACCTTGTATCTTGTGTTGATAACTTAAGGCTGAGACATGTAGACTAAAAGTAGCTGAGGAAAAAGATCTTAGTGAAAGATATGAAATGGACTGTATTAGCTGCTCTACCTAGACAGGCCAAACTTCTTGTAAGCCTAAAGCCTGACGGAAACTAGAAAATGAATGTATTGCACTCATATAGGTCTTCCTGGTACTTGTAGCCAAGGATGCCTTAATCAATCTATGGGACTCAGCTTCAAGATTTTCCAAACTCCTGGTGACACTGGTGTTGCTTCTCGTTCCGCCTCTGGAGCCAGCTGGTGAAACCTGGAAAACTGGAAACGCAACAGTGAATCAGGTAACTCATTACACTTTCCTTCAATGTATTCTGCTGTAATCGTTATGTTGAGCTCTAAACATCGAAGAACAAGATGACTGACCAATGACATAACATGTTCACACTTTGAAGATAAGGTGTTAATAATTTGCACTACTGCTTGGTTATCAGACTGGTACAATAATTTCTTATTTGCCAAATATGGACCCCATGTTTCAATGGAAACCACAATAGGTTAGTACTCCAGTAGTGTTATGTGTGATCCTAATCCTGTGGTGCTTTTTCTTTTGGCATGTTGACGAGATGAGGTGTCTCAAAAATGCTCTGCCTGTCGCGACTGCATTACACAAAAATCAAGGACTGAATCTCTGTGAGGCTCAGCTTAGAATGTGACAGAGCATGGTTGATCATAAGGGAAGCCTTGAGTATCTTTCCTTGTGGTGCCCTTACACACATATTAATAGAATCTAACTCTAATCCAAGAAAGGTAATCTTTGTTGTTGGTTCAACAGTTTTTTCATGCGCTAACGGCACCACCAATTGATAACAAATTTGCTTAAAAGCATCCAAAGTGTCTTTACATTGACAAGTGTCTGCTGGTCCTCCAAACCAGAAATCATCCAAGTAGTGCATTATGTTGCCATGGCCAGACTTGGATGAAAAAATTTCAAATAAGCCACAACTGATTTCGACAACCCATCGGGAGGCACTTGTCAAAATAAAAGCTGTCACCTAGCTTAAAACCAAGGAGACTAAAATCACTGGGTGAAACAATTAAAAGTCGAAAGGCACTTTTGATATCTGCTTTAGACAGTAAGGTTCCTTTTCCTAAGTCCTGAATCATTGACACAGCCTTATTGAATCTTGCATATTCTACTGAACTGATAGACTGGTCAATAAAATCATTAACACTCTGACCTTCTGGATGGGACAAGTGGTGAATCAATCTGTACTCTCCTTGAACACTTTTTGGAACCAGACCTATTGGTGATAGTTTCAAATCAGAAAATGGAGGAAATCAAAAGGGCTGTCTATCCTACCTAAAGCTAACACTTTTTGCACCTTTTGCTGGGCTATTGTGAAATTTTGGTCAATTGATTTCAGATTTTTAACAGAGGTAGTCAGCACTCTCGGTCATGTATAACAAAACTTAAAGCCTGCCTGAAATCCCTGTATTAGCAGACGCACTACTTCCGGGTTGGGATAATTTCTTGCCAGTTGTTGAAGCACTTGGAGTCTGATTGGGGTCCTGCCTAGTGTATACAAATTTGCCAGATTGTGTTTTGGACAGACAGTTAGACGCAGGGTGGAAATTCCCTCAACATCTGGAGCAGGTGTGTTTGAACTTGCACTTGTCTCGACTGCAATACCTGTAGTTGTAATCATGGCATGTTGAGTTTCTGTTTGTGTTCTGGGCATGAAATGACTGGCGATCCTTCCTGGGGAATGAGACAAAATTCTGTGACGGAACTTGCATATATAACATCCAAAGCTCTACTTGATTGACCCCCATGAATTCTGTGGATTTCGTGCTTGACGCAGTCTGAACTGCTCATCATATGTTCTCCAACCAATCCCAGTATGACGAGATGCCCCCAGTCGAATTGTGTTCATGTATTTGAGCATTCCTTGTATCTGATATACACTGTGAATGCAGTTGAGTACTCAGTTATGGTTTCAATCACTTTATTTGAAGCATTTGGTTTCAGTTCCAAATGACCTTCTGAGTTAAGGAAAATGGCTGATGTACAAGCATAATCTTGTAATTCCCGGTCAGATTTCAGCAGCAATGCAAGATTGATATATTCACCATTACATATCTTTTGCTTGATACTTGAAGGAACGTTAGCCCCCAAATCATCATCCCCACATTGTGTCATGGGAGGGGTAAACTCACTCCCGGTGAACAGTAAGGGAGGGAAACATGGGGGCTGTGCGCGTGAAGTGACTGACTGTGTTTGTGTACTGAACGGCTGAGTGGGTAAGGAAACCAATTCTGTAATATTGTTTGTAACTTCTGGATTAAACGATATGTCAACAAACTCACCCTCAGTCGGTCTTGACCCACTCGCATTTTCACCTGACGAAGTCTGGGAAGGCGCCGTCCTGTCTGCTTGAACTTGACTGGGTCCACGTGCTGTCCCCAAGTTATCTAGCTGTCCCATCGCTGCTTCGGGCATGCCCAGCATTGATGACTGTGAAGGGGCCTGTTCCTTGCGTTTCTTTTTCGTGGCCGCACTTGTCCCATGTGTCGGCCCCTTTCTCATTGGTTTCCCTCTCCCTGACATGCTGCAAAACACGAAAATATATGCACGAACACGAAAAAACAGTTTGCCTGTAAAGGCCGCCGAAAGCGAAAGGCAGAGGGGAATTCTTTCACATTAAAGGTTTACTTCAGTTATTGTTGTAAGATGTATTAACAATCTTATTTCGTTTATATGTAAGTCCCGTTTCGTCTCAAGTGCCAATGCCACTTTTGTACTAACTGTTTTTGGCGCTAGTAATTAAAGCATGGCGACCATTGCCTATGAACTAAAACATGTCATTGTTTACCGTTCATCAAGCTTATAAATAAGCAACTATCATAACATGGTGGCAGCGGTAAACAAGATTAATCACCAGGATTAGGCCATAAGTAGCGGACAGCGCTAAACACGCAAGTTTGACCATCAAACGAACTTTTGCCATACCGGCAAGAAACACATGTGTAACCTAGTTTCGTTTTCGAACTTTTGGTGTCATCATTAACCAGAAGCATGTCTCGAATTCCTCTTATGGACTGGCAACAGGCGGATATCAGCGAATCATTCAGTTTATTCAAACAGACTTTGCAATTATTCTATGAGGATGAAGAAATTACTGACAAAGAAAAAATCGCTTTGAAGATAAAACGTGGACTTGGCAACGAGGGTTTACGTCGGGTGAACGCTTCAGGTTTGAGTGAACGTGACCTAAAAGATCCAGATAAAATATGGACTTATTTCGAAAAACAACTCAAATTACAAGTTAATTTTAGAGTGTATAGACTTGAGTTGATGCAATTCAGACAAAAGGAGGAAGAAAACATAGATGAATTTGTAACCAGGTGCTAGACACTAGCATTAAAGTGCGAGTTCAATTAACTCGAACTTCAAGAAAGAATATTGGAATTGCTAATTGCTAGCACTCCTTTTGAGGCTCTACAACATGATTTGCTGAAACAACCCAAAGGCTATAGTCTCTCCAATGCTCTAGAAGAAGGTCGGCGATATGAAGCGATCAGCGCAGGTAATCGTCAAGTCAAAGATCTCAATCCAACACCAGCTACCACTGCCGAAGTAAACGCCATCAACCACAAGTATCGAGCATGTCAGAATTGCGGTCTGAAACACAAGCCGAAGTCCTGTCCAGCTTATCAAGACACCTGTAATGCTTGTGATACCAAAGGTCATTGGTCCAAGTTCTGCCGAAAAACCAAGCGGAAGACATCTCGACAAGGTAGACACCGATCGAAAAGTAGACATAGACAGAAACCAGCAAAGACCTTCAACTCAGTTGACAGTAACCATGGTAACAACGATCCAGTTACTACCGATGATGAAGATTACTCTGTTCTGTATCATGCAGTCACCATATCCAACCAATGCATGGATGATATCGACACAAGCCGTGATTCAGCTTACACAGATCTCAAGGTCAAACCTCCGATGATCTTCGTCTAAAGGTCGACACTGGCGCGGCTGGAAACACACTTCCTGTTCGAACATTTCGACAAATGTACGGAGATCGTCCATATGCGGATATTCTCCAACCTGCAGACGGTATCAAGCTCGTCGCTTACAACGGTCTGGAGATCAAGTGTGTTGGTACCATGTCAATCAAGTGTAAATTCAGAGACTCCAGTTTTGAAAATACGCTATTCTACGTAGTCGACGTTCCAGGTCCCGCCATCGTTGGTCTTTCGTCATGTGAATCACTCAACATAGTCACAATCAACTGTGATGAAATCAAGCCAGAAACAGTTTCTCCCATCAACAGTGTGGAAGATCTGAAACAGAAGTATCCTCAACAATTTTATACTATCGAAAACTTTCATACATCTGCTAAACTTACCTTGAAACCAGATGCAGAGCCTACACCTGAAGGATAAAATCAGAGCTGAAATAGATCGCATGGAAAGCATCGGGGTGATAATACATGTAACAGAACATACAGACTGGTGTTCCTCACTCACGTACGTCACCAAGAAAAGTGGCTCCTTACGCATATGCCTTGATCCTTTTCACCTGAACCAAGCTCTAAAAAGATGTCCAACCAAGATACCTACCTTGGAAGAATTGAATCCGGAGTTTGCCAAAGCCAAATTCTTCTCCAAGCTAGATGCCAAGGCAGGCTATTGGTCTATACATCTCGACGAGAAATGTCAGCTCCTGACAACATTTAGGACGCCGTTTGGCAGGTATTGCTTCAGACGACTCCCGTTTGGATTATCTGTCAGCCAAGACATTTTCCAGCAGCAGATGAACGAGATACTCGAAGATCTCACCGGTGTGGTTGGCATCACCGACGATGTGTGCGTCTGTGGTGAAACTGAACAGCAGCATGATAGCAACCTCATCAAGCTGATGACCAGAGCCAAAGAAAAAGGACTTGTCTTCAACTCGGAGAAATGTCTGATCAAACAGAAATCTATCCCATTCTTTGGTAACTTGTACACCGACAAAGGAATCCGTCCAGATCCAGCCAAAATATCTGACATTCAGAAAATGCCTTCACCTGTCAACAAAGAGGAACTACAGAAATTCCTTGGCATGCTTACCTACCTGAGTTCGTACATACCTAACTACAGCTCAGAATCCAAGGTACTACGTGATCTGTTGAAGAAGGACGCTATCTATGTGTGGGAACCTGTTCACGAACAATGTTTTGATCGTCTGAAGACTCTCGTGAATGAAGATTCATGTCTCGCCTACTACGACATGGACAAGCCATTGACTCTTGATGTCGACGCATCAATGAAAGGACTAGTTGCAGCACTTCTCCAGGAGAAACCAATCGCTTTCGCATCGAAATCCCTTACACCTACACAATCAGTCTACTCAAACATTGAGAGGGAAGCCTTATCACTTGTTCATGGAATACAAAGATTTCATACTTACCTGTATGGACGCCACTTGCATGTTATCACAGAGTACATGCTACTTGTGATGTTACATCAGGCTCCACCGAGATTCCAGCGAATGTTCTTGAAGCTCACAGGATACAACTTTGATCTATCATATCGACCTGGCAAGGATATGACGTTAGCAGACACCTTGTCGAGACTCCCGAATCCTGAGAACACAGCTGAAATCCAACTTGATACCAGAGTGGATGGAATCAGTCTCTACGATGTTGATGATTGTAGCATGGATCTAATCAACTTTGGAACTTCAAAGCAAGAACATCTCAAGAAAGCTACATGTGCAGATACTACTCTCAACCTACTGAAGGAAATGGTACATACTGGCTGGCCCGAGAACATCAAATCTGTCATGCAAGCACTAAGACCATACTGGTCATTCAGGGATCAGTTAGCAGTTGAAGATGGCATCATCTTTAAAGGTTGTCAAGTGCTCATACCAGAATCTCTTCAGGAAGATATTCTCACACAGCTTCATGCTTCACATCAGGGTGTTGAGAAAACCAGGAAATTGGCTCGTGAATCAGTCTACTTGCCGTTAATCAACAAAGACATTGAGAAATTAACCAAATCTTGTGCTTCTTGTCAAGAACTGATGCCACAGAACAAAGCTGAACCACTGGAACCTCATGAGATACCATCAGCTCCATGGCGCAAAATTGGAACTGATCTTTTCCAAATTCGAGACAAGCACTTTCTCGTTGTCACAGACTATTTCTCAAAATATCCTATCGTAAAGCAGATACCACATCCATTAAGCAGTCAAGCAGTGACTAATGAACTGAAGTTCATGTGTTCTATCATGGGTAAGCCCGACACTGTCATTAGTGACAACAGAACACAATATAGTGGGCACCCGTTCCAACAGTTCTGTCTGAACTGAGGAATCACACATGTGACGTCGTCGCCACACTATCCAAGATCAAATGGTCTGGCGGAGAGGATGGTCGGAACAGTAAACCCAATCGTCAAGAAATGTCTTATGAACGGCCAAGACATTGACAAAGCATTGTTACATCTCCGTGCTACTCCCATCGCAACTGGACTCCCATCACCAGGTGAAAAGCTATTTGGTAGACCTCTCACTACCACACTGCCCTCTAGGCAGGAAACAAGTGTTCGTGCAGCGGAACAGCATGAACGACTAAGAGAAGCTCAATCATCCATGAAGAATCATCATGATCGTACCTCACTACATCATGAACTACCTCCACTGCTCCCAGGACAATCTATCAGATTTCACAACCAGGAAACTCGAACATGGATTCCACGGACTATTGTGAAAGTTGACCAGTACAATCCCACATCATACATCATTTCAACAGCAGCGGGAAGTGTTCTACGTCGCAACCGAAGTCAACTTCGAGAAACAGCTACAACACAATCTTCACAAACTACAGCAGCAACTAATCAAAGAAATCTCCCTATCAAGCTCTCCACTCCACAACCAGATAACAACAATAACAAGTCAATAACAACAAACAACAATCCAACAACTCCTAAGAAGAAAGTCACTTTCACTACCAAACCAGTCACCAAGCTCATCTCAACTCTATCACCTCAACATTCAAGCAATCAGCCACAACCCGAACAGCATTTGAAGAAATCAAGAAGTGGTCGTGTAATCAAGACACCACAGAAACTCTGATCCAAAGACTGATCTAATATCTTCAGCTAATGTGTCTGATAATGTAAAAAAATTCTGTTATCATGGACTCCAAAGTTAATTTCATGTGTTATTGCAAAAGTGGATTGCAATGTGTGTTTATTTCTTTATTTCAGGTTATCAGTGCAAATGACTCTAATCTGTGAACTGTACTACAAATCAGTAATTGTTCATCTTAGCCATCCAGTGTATTGAACATACACATCCCCATTGTGCAATGGAGTTACCAGACTGTTTCACCATATACAACTCCGGTATTTTATCTAGTCATTATCCAAAGACTCTAGATACTCAAGGTGCTATAAGCATTTGTGTTTATGTATAACCTTCTTAAAGGAGGGGGATGTTGTAAGATGTATTAACAATCTTATTTCGTTTATATGTAAATCCCGTTTCGTCTCAAGTGCCAATGCCACTTTTGTACTAACTGTTTTTGGCGCTAGTAATTAAAGCATGGCGACCATCGCCTATGAACTAAAACATGTCATCGTTTACCGTTCATCAAGCTTATAAATAAGCAACAA